GGGGGGGGGGGGTGGAGAGTGAATCTCTAACAAGTATTGCATTGTCAAATTGTTACGGAGAGTTATGAAATAAATGAAGTAATTGTGACAAACAAGCAAGCAAGATTTTAGAATCACTAAGAAAACCAAGGTCTAGTTGTAAGTATTGAGTATTGGCATGCCTATATGGCTATATATCATCACTCAACCAGTCAACCTATTTACAGTTCACATAAACACCTCACAGCATTACAACAACAACAATAAGAAAGCCTTAACCCCAAGTAACTTGGGGGCACAATAGGGCAAGTCACATCCCAATAGGACTAATAGTAAAAGTTCATGTAACTCGCATTGGGAATTGACAAAGCTTTAGCTGATATTGGCAAAGCTGACTACTCTATCTTTGCTAATTCAATGTTTATCCAAGAAGATCGCAAAAGTAGCCATAAGATCACTAGATCACCAGAAATGCAATCATAAATACCTGGAGACACATGGCGGCCTCAAGAGTGTTCCTTATGCACGTCAGATATAACCGCAACGGGTTTGCCTATCAGATTGATAACCAAAATTTGATCAATCATCAATTGTGTATAAACCTAAAATCAGAAGTGGCTAACTTGTCAGAAAACAGGGTTGTAACGAAATAACAAATAACTAATAAATAAGTCAATTCCAATGACTCACTTGGCTCATAGAATGGAACATGAATTAAAGAAAGCAAAATCAAGAACAAATGGAAAAAATATTTTCTTTATATTATTTGGTTCATAAAAAAGAATGCAAAAGGAATTATTTGATTGGACTTGTACTGAAAACAAAAAGAAAAGTAAAATAACCAAAATAACTATATACCAGAATATGGTTCGCCTTTCCTTTTAAGGAAGTGATTGGGTGGGTCATATTACGTAGTATTTCTAAATAAGCATATCGGGTCAAACCCGGAATCTCATTTTGAGACGGATGGAGTATAAGTTATATGTACGTGTATATAGTGAACATGAATGGAAACACACACAAATATGTGTGTGCGTGGAGTGCAAGGGTATGTCACGTTCCCTTATTGCGAGAGGGACGTATTGGGAGTGTGATTGTTCATTAAAGCTTAACATTTTGGTCAAATTCCTTGTCACTAAATAATAATGAACAAGTATTCTGCAGTATCCCAAGGCTTTGGAACACCAAAGAGGAAAATTTGAAGTTCAATTGATTCTGCACGCCAAACATGTCCTAAAACCACAGGGAAGCATGAAAAATGAACATACTAAATAGGAAACACATTGGGGAGGTCTATGAAAGCCAAATGCAGGCAGCTTTCTCACTGTAAGGTGCTGATGAAACAAGCACAGAATAAACTAGTGTGTGTGATCAAATTTTCTTCACTCCACTGTAAACAATTTCAATTGCAAGCCAAAATTCACACATTCGAGTGATAATCGAGCAATTCAAATACCCCAAATTCTGAATCACACATTAATCGAACGCAAACAACAATCGGACAACCCAAATGTACTAGTTTCAATTGCTGCTTCACTTTCCACCAAATTCCTTGTCAACTTTAAATGTGTGATTATAAAATTATGTAGATGCATTTAGAGAAGGGCGCGAATCTCACCATGGGAGAAAAGATCGATGGCCGTCGTCGTTGATTCAGATTTCCTTTGATGAATAGAACAGAGAGAGACATGTTCAAAAAGAAAAAAGAAAAGGGACACGCGGAGTAACTTAGATTGATACATTTTTAACTAACATGTAGTACCTGAGTTGAAACAAACAGACGCTTTGGCCGAGTGGTTAAGGCGTGTGCCTGCTAAGTACATGGGGTTTCCCCGCGAGAGTTCGAATCTCTCAGGCGTCGTATTCTTTTTTTGCTACCATTTTTTTTCTTTACTCTAAAAAAGAGTATGTTTTCGTCTATTCAATTTAATTCTAAAACATTTTTATTATTGTCTACTCCGTATTATTTAGGACTTAATTTTAATTGGATTATAAAATAAGGAGATTTCAGTATGGTAATTATTTACTGGGTTGCTGTTGTAGTTGAGCATGATAATATTTTAATAAAAAAATAGTGGGTAACTGAAATTTGGATGCAGTAATAATTTTAAAAGTTAAATATATTTTTGGTCATTGTAAAAAAATTGACGTTCGCTTTTGATTCTTTTATACTCCGTATATTTTAATAAACCTAATTTTTTTTTCACAAATAGTCATTCCACCAGACTAATGTTGCATTGTGGAGTGAATGTTGATATACTTTTTCTTACTGTAAAATTACTAATTGTATTTTTAGTCTATCTCAAATTTTTAATTCAAAATGATTTTTATTTTTTGGTCTCTAAAAACTCCTAACAAGTTTATTCAATAACTCTAAATTGGTAAAACAACCATTTGGAAAAAATCTATAGGGAATACTTAATTTAATTTTTTTTGGAAGGACAAAATGTAAATAGCATGTATTTTAAACGGATCAAACTCTAACATAAAGTAAAATTTATTTATCATTGTCTAAAGTGTAAACACCTCTAATATTTCATATAATGTAAAATCTACTACAAAATTTCTTACAATAATTTTTTGGTTTTTTATTACTATGGGGTAATTGAATTTTAGTATTGCATAGTAGTTTTTTGCAAAAAAAAAAAACTTAAAATACACTATCTCTCCACAAATTTATAACAATCTAATGTTGTTACTCCACAAATTTTTTAATATATTCATAGGGATTTTGGTGAAAAAAATCATTTCAAATACGAATAAAACATAGAAAAAGTATCGAAATAAATTTTTTATATTTTTATCTACAAAATAAAAGATTGTAATATGGTAATGTGACAAGATATTTCACCATACTTTTGGTAATGTATATATGATCATGATTGTTATTGTAAATATATTTTAAGTTTCATAGACACATTTTAAAATAAAAATATGAAACTTTTATTTTGATATATTTTTAATATTTTATTCATACTTTTATTTTTATTTCTAAAGTCATTTTATTTGTGGTAAATATAATTAAACCCGATAATCGTGGCATTGTGGAATTTTTTTTTTTTGAAAAAAAAAACACATCCTCAATTGAGAGATGAGAACTTCATCTTCTCCCATACGCCAACGAGCTTGAATCTAGATCGACTTTTCTTCTCACTGCAACGAATCTGTGTTCCAAACGAGCCCGTCTCGCGCGTTCTCCATCTCCATTGCGAACTCAGTCGCCCTTCAGACTTCAGAGGATACGCATATGACGCCTCGAACTGGCGCTGCACCGCCGCGGGCTCACCGAGATTCACTCCGACTTCACCTTCAGTAAATCCGCAGGCTCCGATCACACAAGCCTCGTCGAAAATGCGGAGGTAAATTTACTTCAGATTCTCTGTAAGTGTTTACATGCGCACTCGATTCTCTATCTACTGTTGATCTGATGATAGCTTTTGGCAGACCAGGGCATCGGCACCAGCTGAAGCAGCATTTGGGACTGGGAGTGAAGGGGATGTTTGGAAGGCTCACAGTTGTTGCTGTTGTACTGGTGATCTGTATGGTCTTGCTTTTCTCTGCTTCCATGACTAGTAATAACAACTCTTCGTCCCAGGTTGGTTTTGTACTTCCATCGTAGTATGACCGTTTAAATTTTTTATTTATTGGAATTAATAAGTGTGTTATACTCATCTTACTGTCTGCACAAGTGCCTATGATACACAGCCAATTGTTATTAGTTTGAAAATGGAGGGTTTCAGCTAAGAAGTTGGTGAGCTAAAGAGTATTGATTTCACAAATAGGCAATTTACAGATGACTGTGTTCAGAATATTGTTTTGAGTAAGTTCAAGTATTATATCATCTAGAGAGAATGAGATTCATGACCATCAAATTGGGATCTCCCTTGTTCACACTAGACACCATGACACCTAAAAACCAGATCTTTTTTCCTTTTAGGATGTGTGTTCATTTTGCCTAAACTTAAAACCCTGTCAGTTGAACTGCTACATGTAATGTGTGTGTCTATGTCAGTGTATTGGACAATGGTGACGACTATTTGTTTGATTTACATTATTGTGTATTTAAATAGTCCCGTGTCCCAAAATAATGTTCCACATTACGATTTAACCATTTCTTCTTTGCTTGCATATCTTCCCTACATATGTTCTTGGTAAAATAAAATAGTCATGCCCCCCATGTTTTGTAGAGTTTTTTATATAAAATATTTTCCAGTCCTCTAATTTTTTTTAAATTTGGCACTAATATTCAAAATAAATTGAATAAGGAACCTTTTTTTTAGATATTTAATAGCACATTAGCACCTCAACAACTAAACTGAGTCAATCTCTCTCCACAGCTAATAGTAACAAAAACAAGAAAACTTTTCTTTTGCATATAGGTTATATATTTAATGTACTTTATCTTTGGCGTTGGTAGGCTTAGTTTTTTCTTTTTACATCTGAACAGATTGATGTGGAGGCCCTATGGAGAACTGCTGATTCTGGTGGTTGGAGGCCATCATCTGCGCCTCGTTCTGATTGGCCTCGTATGTGGTTTCTTTATCATTCAATGTCTGGATAAGTGTTCTTTAAGCTCCAATAGGTTTGATTCTTATGTTCTCGTTCATATTTTGTCTGCAGCTCCTCCTAGTGTGACCACTGGTTATCTGCGTGTTCGTTGCAATGGTGGTCTGAATCAACAACGCAGTGCGGTCCGTATGCATTCTTTATCATTTTAATCTTGTAGGAATATCTTCATTGAGTATATCCCTACTTTGTGACGTATATGAATGCCTCTACAAAACTCTCTAAGATGTTTAAGGTGAAAGTGTTTGAACATGCACTTCTGAAGTGGAAACCCATTTTATGCATGTTGATATTTTGAATAATTGTAACCAGCTATAGCAAGACTAATACTCCGTATTATTTTTTGTTTGCTATGTATATTTTCAGTCTTTATAGAGTTTATGCATTTTTTAAATATTTTGTTGTTGCTATGCATGTGATATGGTCCATTCTGACTTGAAACAAAAAGAAGATAACACAAATTATCTCCCTTAACCGATCACTTGGATGAAATGATTTGCACTCATGTATGTAGCTACATGTTGTAACATTAATATTGTAATTATTTTTCTGTTGGCATACATTCTTTTTCTTCTTTTGTGATGCATAGTATTGTGCACCATCATTCGTACCATGATTCATTCATGAAAACCTATTTAAAACTGTGTACATATTGCCTTTGCTTGCACACAATCTTTTTTCTATTAGAGCAAATAAGGGGTCATAAAATACTGATATCCTTTTTGTGCTATAACTGTGAGGGACTTCACTGAGTTGACAAATCCTTGATTTTTAGATTTGTAATGCAGTGCTAGCTGCAAGAATTATGAATGCGACCCTTGTGCTGCCTGAGTTGGATGCGAACTCCTTCTGGCATGATGACAGGTACTTTTTTTATATCATAGCATTGTTTGTACATAATAAGTTTCCCAATATTCTACTAAGTGAACATGCCTTTTCAATCCTATTTTATATTCTTTCTCAAGATCATAGATCTATTAAGCGTGTTATGTTTAATAGTTTTCACTCATTAGGCCATTTTAGGCCTTTGGGATCAGTTTCATGTTTTGCTTTACTCTTTTCTATTGGAGTATTGGTGCAATAAAACATTACTGTCTAATTACAACTGTAGTGTACTAATTCATACTTCTTTTTTGTTGTCAAATCAGACGAACTTTGATCATCTCAATTAAAAAAAGTATTACATTGTATACAACAACAACAACAACAACAACAACATCACCCCAGTGCCTCAAAGGCTCCTGCCCATTGCAGGGTAAGGGGGGTTGGATGCACGCATCTTGGCCTCTATGTTTAAAACATACCTCAATTAAATAAATATTACATTGCTTATTAATAAAATAGTATATTATCTTGAAAATATTTTACAAGATAAATCTAATTAAATCATTTTTGTACTAATATGCAATGCAATTTTTATTTAATTGATGATTAAAGTTCTTTGAGTTTAACTCCACAAAGTCAAATTAGATAAACACAATAGGACACAGGCAGTAAAAAAGTTGTAGTATACTAGCTTGGCTTCTTTTGCCATCTCTTTTACATTGCAACTGATTTGGAGAGTAAAAACTGAAGAAGGATGATTTAATTTTTTCCCATATAGTAGCATATTGCTTTGAAATTTTACAATTTACATATGTACTTCATATGTTTCTCAGCTATATCTGTTTAGATATGCTGCTCTATCGATGTGCATAACTGCATATTTCTTATCTCACAGAGAATCTAGTTCGATTGACAAAAGTTGTCTATTGCAGTAACTTCTGCTGCAGATGTATGTATTTTTAAAAGGCGGTAGCTCTTAAGGTTAACTTAAATTTAATAGGTAGCATGGTTTTAAAAGGCGAAAAAGGCGGTCCGCCTCGAGGCGGTAAGGCGGTAACATTTAGCCTCAGAGGCTTACGCCTCAGCAGGGACACTTGATGCGTACGCCCTAAGATGTTGAGGCGGTCCAAGGCGTAAGGCGAAATCGAGGCGTAATACAGATCCAAAAACCCTAACCTATATCAGAAGTCGATCCGACTGCTATATGGAAGGTCTGCTTCCCCCTCCAGACTGAAGATGGGCCGACACAGCAAGATGGAAGTGTGTCCGCCGTCAATTGTCACGCAGTCCCGTAAGATACGGCCAGTCAATTACGGAGTTGTTTTATCATTCTTTACACTTCCGGATTTGTGCCCGACCCATATTTGGTTTGTTCTTTGTTTAGGGCTAGGGAATTAGGGGATAGGCCCATTTGGTTTTGTTTTTTCATTTCTCTTTAGCTTTAATTACACTTCGAGATTTTGTTTTCTTTTAATTATTCTTTGTGCAACTAAAAAAATGTTTGGTCAACAATTTGTTTTGGATTTTGTTTGAAAATAAAATTTGTTCCATATTTTGTTTTCTTTTACCTGTTTAAT